AAACCTATAACCAATAAATTCAAAAAGAGAACAGAATGTAGTTGGCCGTTGAACAACATGGGTTTGAACTGCGTGGATCCACTTATACCTGACTTTTTTTCAATAAATATACAGTTGACCCTTTGTATCCCCAGGCTTCACATCTGTAGATTCAAACAGCCAACAATGGAAAACAGTCTTTTCCATCTGCGGTTAGGAATCCGCAGGTGCAGAGGGCCAACGAACGCATGCATTGTTCTATGCCATTTTATATAAGGGACTTGAGCATCTGTGGATATTGGTATCCTGGTAGAGTACCAGGAACCAATCCCCCGCAGATACCGAGGGACAGCCATAGGGTATTGTTTAAATCATGTCTATAGATATGGGAGAGTCAAAAGTTATATGTGGATTTTTTACTGCACGAGGGTCGATGCCCCAACCTCTACGTTGTTCAAGGATCAGCTGTAACTGCAAGAAAAATTCCCATTTTGGAAAGGGGAGAATGATGAAATAAACAGCAGTAATTGGTCCATAGCAGATACCAAATATTGCTGGGCAAGAATTCTGTTCCAGCAATGGAACAATTTCCTTGGTTAGCTGTCCTTCTAGTCCATGTGATTCTGTTCCCAAGATAATCTCTCTTTGTCCATATCCTGCAATTGTTAGCGAGGGTGTGATTTGGCATTTTCTTTCTGGAGTGCAGCTTGAATGTATGTATCAAAATATAAAACATATTCAGTCTTCAACCTGCTAATACCACTGCTGGGAATTTTTCATAAGGCTACAATTCTATAAATTCACAAAGATACATGCAGAAAAATCAAGATTTTTAAAAGATGAAATATTATATACAACATAAATGTGTGTAGATAGGACAATGGAAAAATGTATAAGTTAATAAAAATAGCATAGTTATGTTTATATAGAAATAGGTGAGTACCATTGTTGAGTGCAAAAAGACTATAGAACAGTATATAAAAATGTTTACATAAAATGTTTATGGATAGCTACATGTTTAAATACATGGAGAACTCTCCAGAAGGATGTTTGCCTAAATGCTATCAGTGCTTTTCTTTGGGTAATGGAATTCTGGATGATTTTCACTTCTTTACATTTTTCACAATAAGCATATGTGACTTTTACAAAAACTGTATATTTTACTGACCTTTATATGGTTTTTGACTAGCCACTTGTGGATTATTCACTTACAAATTGTGTTTAATTTTAAGACAAACTTTTCCCATACCATTCAGCATCATTCTGAATTATCTCTCCTAATATCAACTGATATTTGTTCAGGAAATTATATTACACTGAAAAGAAAATTTTAATATTACTCTGAAAAGAACAAAATCAGAAGCATCAATTAGTCAAATTCTTTAAAGCCAACTGGAAGTGAGGCCTTATCTGACATAGTACTATTGTATTAAGTTGCTTTGGTTACTAGGTAATAACTTGGTAATACTGGGACTGCTTTTAACTATTAGGTAATTACTACTGCTGATAATGTGTACAGATGTGATTATTGCTGAAATGATCTATTAGAGACCTGGCAAGATACTTAGGCTCTCTAAGTCTCCAATCACTCATCTATTAATAAAAATGAGGAAGAATATTGCTTGACTTAGCAGTTTGTTGTGAGGGTTTAATGTGGTACAAGTATGTGTGTAGCACTTTTTTTTTAATTAAAATATATTGAGGTGACAGTGGTTAGTAAAATTATGTAGGTTTTAAGTGTACAATTCTGTAATACATCACCTATGTATCATATTGTGTGTTCACCACCCAGAGTCAGTTCTTCCATCACCATATATTTGACTCCATTTACCCTCTTCTACTACCTTCCTCCCTTAACCCTCTGGTAACCACTAAAATATTGTCTGTGTCTATGAGTTTTTGTTTTTTTATTTGTTTATCTTGTTCCTTGCTTTCAGTTTTATATCCCACATATCAGTGAAATCATATAGTTCTTGACTTTTTCTGTCTGACTTATTTCACTTAGCATAATAATCTCAAGGTCCGTCCATGTTGTCTCAAATGGCACTATTTCATCTTTTCTGATGGCAGAATAGTATTCCATTGTGTATATGTACCACATCTTTTTTATCCAGTCATCTGTCAAGGGACACTTTGGGTGTTTCCATGTCTTGGCCACCGTAAATAAAGCTGCAGTGAACATTTGAGCACATATATCTTTACAGATAAATGTTTTCAGATTTTTTGGATATACTCAGGAGAGGGATTACTGGGTCATATGGTAATTCTGTTCTTAATTTTTTGAGGAACCTTCACACTGCCATCCATAGCGTCTGCACCAATCTGCATTCCCACCAACAACAGTGTATGAGGGTTCTTTTTTTCTGCACAGTGTCTTCAACACTTGCTATTATTTGCCTTGTTGATGACAGCCATTCTAACCGGTGTGAGGTGATATCTCATTGTGGTTTTTATTTGCATTTCTCTGATGATTAGTGATCTTTCATATGTCTATTGGCCATCTGTATGTCCTCTTTGGAGAAATGTCTATTCAGGTCCTCTGCCCATTTTTTAATTGGATTATTAGTTTTTCTGTTGTTGAGTTGTACGAGTTCCTTATATATTTTGGGTATTATCCCCTTATCCAAGGCGTTTACAAATATCTTCTCCCATTCGGTTGGTTGCCTCTTTATTTTGTCGATGGTTTCTTTTGCTGGGCAGAAGCTTTTTAGTTTGATATAGTCCCATTCATTTATTTTAGCACGTGTAGCACTTTTAACGGTGCTTGAAACCTTAAAAGTACTAAAAAAATGTTAGTTTTTGTTATCTATGAAAAGTCAGTAGCCTAATTATGTTTTCTCAAGTAAATCAATGGTTTTTTATATAGGGTATATTTTATGTAGGATGTGTCTTTCAAATGGTAATTCTGGGTTTATTCCTATACAAGAAAGCTCAAAAATATTCTTCTATTATAGTATACTATAAGAATTAAGAAATGACATTCAGGAATGAATTTACTAAACATTGTGTTAATCATTTTAGCTTACGTATCCTCTTTGACTAGTTCTCCTGTTAGACCACTGGAGAAACTTGGCCTACTAGTAATTACTTAATGAGTCTCATTAGTATGACATAAACATAACATTCTTTTTAAGCAGAAATCATTTTCAAAATTATTAATGACTCTGAAAGTTTATTCTATAGTTTAATTCCAGTAAATTTTATTCTGTTTTTGTTGTTTACCTCCAATTCCTAAATTGGATGTTTTTGGTCTCCTAGGAGAATTGTATTTATCATTTTTAAGTCTGATTATTTGCCTGATATAACATCTTTACATATTTTTTCACGTTTTTAAAATAAGATTAGGTATTGTTTCTGATTCTATGAAATTTTTTATAATGCTTACATAGAATACAAAATTTAAGTCTAAGTTTTTATTATATATCATATGCTAAATCTACTGATTTGTTAAACTGCCTTTCACAAATTCATATGGCACTAATAGTTTCTCACAATCATGTCTTGATTTGTATCACAGTTTGAATTTGTTTTTAAAGAAAAACCACATCTTTCTTGTGATTTCTTTTCTTTCTTTTTTTTTATTGGGGAATTGGGGAAGAGAAACAGTGTTGGGGAATTGGGGCAAGTTGTTGTCTTTCAACCTTAGTTGTGGAGAGCGCCAATCACCATCTGGCTGCCTTTTGGCAGCTTGTGGCCTCTAAGCTCAAGGTGCTGTGTTCAATCTTAGTTGTGGAGGGCACAGCTAGCTCAGCTCAAGGTGCCATGTTCAATCTTAGTTGCGGATGGGCATAGCCCACCATCCCATGCGGGAGTTAAACCGGCAATCTTGTTGTTAGGAGCACGTGCTCTCACCAGCTGAGCCATCCTGCCACCTGTTGGCAGCTCAGTGGCAGCTCAGCTCGGGTACAGCTCACTGGCCCATGTGGAAATCGAATTGGCAACCCTGTTGCTCAGAGCTTGCGCTCTTAACCAACTGAGCCACTCGGCCAGCCTTCCCTTATTTTCTTGAAAAATAAACAAAAAAGTAACAATTAAAACCAGGAGTAATGGATTATCTTCATGACACATGACTATTTGGTCACTTACTCTAGATGTAGACTGCCTCCCTAAAAAATGTTTTAAATCAGAACTTTCAAAGACATAGATCTGTTTTAAAATAATGGTATCAGAGTAAGTTTATACTTAAAGGAAGTTTATATATAAATAGCACTATAAATCTGAGAAAAATATCTTATTTGCATGTAGTAACTGAATGCAAGATCTATGTGAGTAGGAATATATATTGCCTTTTAGTTTTGTTTCCCTATAAAAATGCTGTTCCAGGACAAGTATCTGGCTCATGTATATTGAAGATATTGAAGCTATGAAAGTCAAGTTTACTTAGAAAACTCTATTCAAAATCCAGTGCCTAGTTCATAATAACTGGCTGATGGTTTTGTGTGTTCTTCACTAACACATTGGAATAAAAGTAAATAACATGAACTATGTATGCTTTAACATTAGCTATCACATAATATCCCTTTGACTGTTTTCATAGATTCATTTTTTGAATCTGTAGTAAAATCTTGGTCTGAGAACAGTAATAAATCTTTAAATTTCTATAACAAGGTTTTATTAGAAACAAATAATCTGTTAAGAAAGCACATAAACAGTTATCTAATTGCTCTCTTGCTATAAGCTAAAAATTATTTTAGTGAGTAATTTTTTAAAACTTAATTTTAGGAAATTTTTTTATCAATTTCTGATTCATTTTCCAATTTGGAAAAGTTGTCCTTAAGTTAGGTCTTATGTCACGTACTCTATTGAGTTTAGGGCTTAAAATCTGTCTATTGGCCAATTGGAAAAAGGTAAATTCAGTGTTTTTTTGGCTCCGAAGCCTTCACTTGAGCGAACTTCCCATCATTTCCTCTTGTAATTAACTACTTCAGTATTTTGGGCAAATGAATCCCACCAGCTGTTCTCCTTGTTGATAGATTGTAGGTCTCAGAATATAATCATAAGGTATTTTTCTTTCCTTTTAGCATCAGAGACTCCTTGAAATGCTAGATACAGAGAAGGACCTGTTAAAAGAAAAAATAAAGGAAGCTTTGATTCAGCAATCTCAAGAACAGAAGGTAATACTTCAAGTTTGCTCAGAGTATGAAAAGAATATGTTCTGTTACCTCAGGTAATACGTTGTGTCTGTCTTATCATTTACAGGAAATATTGGAAAAATGTTTGGAGGAAGAAAGGCAAAGAAATAAAGAGGCATTAGTATCTGCTGCTAAGGTATTTCCATCTGAAAAGTTTATGCTGTAGTTTAATTCCAATAATTTTTATTATGTTATATTTATTATGTTTACCCCCACCTCAAAGCCTAAATTGAATATTTTTGGTCTCGTATGAGAATTGTATTTATCACTTTATAGTTTTAATTATTTTCCAGGTATAAACTCATCTGTACTAATGAGTTTCTTTATAAGTAAGTAAAATTAAAAAATTGATTTCATTCATGGTACAACCAATCTACTTTTATAAAATACTTCATTCCAGAAAAATAAAAAAGAAATGTTTTTCTTTCTTATTTTTCCTCTTAAACTTAGGATACTACTGTTCATATTCTTGTTAAATTCACATTACACAAGATTATGGCGATGTTGAAATGCTTTATGTTTAAATTAGTAGTTACTAGTTTAAAAGAATTTTAAAAAGAATACATTATATATATATATATGTTGGGACACTGATATTCACTTGGTATTTGATTGGTATATAAGTAATACATGTGTGTATTTGTGCACATATGCGTAATATATACACACACATATAATATATAGACACATAGTATGCATATATATATATTTAATTATTAAGATATGTGCTTTTTGAAGCAAACTTTGAAATAGCTCATCTGAGTAGTGATTCATAGATTTTAAATTTATGTACCAACAAATATGTACATATATAGTACTAACTTTTGAGGTACAGATTTCAATTTAAATTTAGTAAACAAATATTGAAAGTCTCATGTGAGCAAATAACTATGCCGGTGTGGAAGTTCAAAGATGACTATGATTTTTGCCTTTTTCTTAAAGAACTTACAGCCAGGTAAGAAAAATACTATAAACCAATAGTGCAAGGAGGAATGCATTAAAATATTATGAGTGTATAGACAGTATTTGCATGTCCTACGAGTTTTTAACAATAAATTACTTTTGAAGTGAGTCTTGAAGGATGGCTTGCTTTCTGAATTACGAGTTTGAATTTTATTCCATAGTTAAGGTAGACACATTGAAATTTTTGAGTATAGGTGTGACATAATGGTAATTGACATTATCTTTTGGAAATTGGAGGCAACAAAGGCTAGAGGCAGAGAAAGAATTAATAGATTGCATCAGAAGCCTGGGTAAGAGATGGGAGTGGCAGAAATAGAGTAGTAGTAGTAGCTTGGAAAGGAAATAAATAGGCAAATACTAGAAATAGTTAGGAGATGGAATCAACATATATGTTTGGTCTGGATGATATAGGAGGTGGCCAGGTGGTGAACTCTCAGAGTATTGATTCAACAAGGACATGGAAAGTAATACTATTTCTTTGGTATAGAGTTTGAGGTGCAAGTGATATGTGCAAATGATAAAGTCAAGTAGACAACTAAATCTACCTGACATTTACAGCTCAGGAGAAAGGAATGACCTGAAGATACTAATGTGGGTGGTGGTTGTTGTTTTTCCCCAGCAGATAAATGGTAGTGGTAGCCATGGAAATACGGTCATGTATAATCACCTCACAAGACTGTAGAGTAACAGGTGGTCCAAGGTCTGAGCCCTGAAAGAACTCCAAAATTTAAAATCCAGAGAAAGGAAGTTATAAAGAACTGAAATGACTCAGCCATATTAGTAAGAGAAATAAAAGCTACATGCTGTCATGCAAACTAAGAAAAGAGACAGCTTCAAGAAAACAGAAATAGCTATGTAGAATGTTCCTCTGAGGTCAACAAAAATGAGGATTATAAAACTACAAAAAATAGCATTTGGATTAAAGAACATGGAAGGCGTTGGTGAGCACAGTAAGAGTAGTTTCAGAGCAGATTGGTAGAGTAAAATAAGAGTTCAGAAAATGGTAACTGTCAGCTTCAATAACTTTTGTCAAATTGGTCGTGAACTAGAAGCCATAGAAAATGTGGTAGCTCTCTGGGGATGAAGGGTGGGAGGTCTGTGGACTTTACTGCATACCGAAGTACAGTGGTTTTCTTGAGGAAAATTCTTGTGCAGTTGTTTGAGTTTGCAACTGAAGTGTAGTCACTTTTTTCACGGAATTCCATTTTACTGAATAATGAGGGCTATACAGACTTTAATATTTGGCAGACGTTTTCTACAAAATAAGTGGTGTTAGCCCAGCACTTTAAGGAAAAAACTGACAGTTTTTGTTGCTAATGATAAAATTTGTGCATTAAAGCAAAAATTAGAGTTTTGGAAAATTGGTATCTGCTTTCTGATACTTGAAACTTTATTGATGGGATTGATGATGTATTAGCAAATGTGGCTTTTTGTTATGCTATAGTGAAATGTATCCACATCTAGAAAAGAAGCATAATTCTTTGAATCAATGTTTTCCAAATGTTTTAAAAAATCATTCATAGATGAAGAATTCATTCAAAGTGCAAAAATTTGCTTTGATTTTCCTTATTGCAACTAACTTTCAATAGCTACCTCTTGTTAAGTTTTGGTGTAGAATCATCAAGAATATCTGCAATGGTCATAACTGGCTACTAAATACTCCTTCCTTCTTCTCTACTACATAGTTGTGTGAGACTGGGCATATATATATATCGTGTGTGTGTGTGTGTGTGTGTGTGTGTGTGTGTGTATTTTTTTTCAACCAAATAATATCATTACACAGTTAATACAGAACGCAAATATAGGAAACTAACTGTCTTCTATTAAGTCAGATATTAAGAAGGTTTACATTCTTCTCACTGTTTAATTTTGAAAAAAATGTTAATTTTCATAAACTCTAGTGTTTGTTAATATACAATGTGTTTAATGTTATTAGTTTTAAATGAATTAATCAATAAGTGTTTTAATTTTGTCTTGGTTTGAATTTCTAATATGGTAAATGTTGATATATAACCACCATAAACAAAAGCTCTTTGAAATACTCAATAATTTTTAAAAGAGTAAAGAGATCCTAAAACCAATTAGTTTAACAACTTCTAGTTTAAGCTAAGGCTTGGTTTCTTTGAAGTTTAGAAATGCCATGGAAATAAGTAGATTATTTGTACAAAAAGAAATAATTGATTTTATTTTACAGTGATTATTAAATATGCATAAAAACAACAATGTCAGAACTAAACCCTGTAGAATCAAAGTTTTGTATTTTTTAGGTTAACCCAAGTCTGTCTTATTCAAAGAATTATTGTGCAGTCATCCTTTCAAATATTTTTTGGTCATATTTGTTTTGAAGCTTGAGAAAGAAGCAATGAAGGATGCAGTTTTAAAAGCCATAGAAGAAGAAAGAAAAAATTTGGAAAAAGCCCATGCTGAAGAAAGGGAATTATGGAAGACTGAGCATGCAAAAGATCAAGAAAAAGTATCTCAGGAAATTCAAAAAGCTATACAAGAACAAAGAAAAATTAGTCAGGTTAGTAAAGTTAACTCTTTGTAAATGTTTTTTCCTTGTTTTTCTCAAAATGAAGTTTCTTTACTATTTTTACCTTATTAAAAATCACCTTAGAAGACATACCAGTGTTTATTTTGCCTTTGGTATTAATATTTTAAACAAATAATTTTTAACATACCTGTATTTTTACTTTCTGATACTTACAATTTTACCTTTTTACTCTATTTTTTAATAAGTCAGAATCCAAATTTATGTTTAGTCATTGCAACTACATTAAGCCTCCTAATTAATATATATGATTTTTCTTTTTTCATAAATATACACATATACACACAATGAATGCAAAATAATATACTTGTGTAGAAAACAATTTGATTCAATTAATTTATGTCTAATTTGTGTGTGTGTGTATATATACAATTCCCATGGTCTCATAGAAGATATATATATATATATATATATATATATATATNTATATATATATATATATATATATATATATCAACAAATATGGCCTACACAATATAACTTTTGGTTAGTTATATGAAGAATTAAGTAATTCAACTTTATTACTTGTAGTTTTTTATAATTGAATTAGCATGGATTTGTTTTACTTATGTTTAGTCTTTTCCTTATATAGGAAATAAGATACCCAAATAAATCTTTCGTTAAACAAGTACAAAAAGCAAAAAATAACATTTGTAGAAGTCTTTTCTTTTACATGATCAAAATGTTATATTATCATCATTGTTCATTTATCCATTATAAGTGTAGCTAAAATGACTATCTTTTGAGAATAAACAATCTTGACTGTTTTCTTATGACATTAATTAATCTTAAAGAAGCCCTAAAAAACTCAGTGCTTCCAATATCGATGATACATATTATGAGTTTTTAAAAAATATGACGTTTATTCTTAAGAATGCATAGTTACCCATTTATTATAAAAATTAAACAGTTCGGTAGGTAGCATTTATGGTATGATAACAGTAATGTAGTAACAGATCTTACCCTTTTCTTTCTTGCTTTTTTCCATTAGAGTAGTGATTACTTTCTAATTCTTTCTGTAACCTATTGTAACCTATCAACAAATATATACTGAGCACCTATTGTATATAATATGCTTAATTTTCTGTCAGTTCAGTTGATTAGTATTCCATGCCAGTAAGGTCAAGATCATTAATAAGTCCTGATTTGGGAGAGTTTGCTTAAAACGATTTTGTGATCACAGACCACTCCTTTAACCTCAAATAGATGTGGGCTATTCATCACCGTTAAATTGGGCAAGATGACATGCGTAAATCAGCACATATTCACCATCCAAACAGAAAAATATGTATCTTAAAGAACACCCTTCCCTGGCAATCTGTCAGAAACATTCTTACCTGTATCAAACACTACAGTATATGATATACTTTAAAATTTGTTTTTTATAGTTTCAGAGTACTGTGAAGATAATCCAATCATGTCATGAATAAATAAATACATTTTGTTTTTTTCCCTTACAAATGGTTGCATATTTGGGGGGAAGGAGGAAGAAGGTAGAGAATGGGAATGAGCAAGAGATAGAGATAGAGATAGACGCAGAGAGAGAGAGAGAGAAAGAAAGAGAGAGACAGAGAATGAATTTCAAATAGATTAACTATTTAAATCTGTAAATGTAATGTACTGAAAAGAAACTGGGAAAATATTGATACTCTTGGAGAGGCAGACACCGGTGGGACGTCGAATGGCAGACTGAGCAGCTCTGCCTGTTAGCTTCTCCATAACAGCAACGCGAACACTAGCAAAGATCGTCAAACCAGCTTTTTCAGAGCTCTGGATATTAGCCAAGGGCTTCAACAGCGCACAGAGAATTTATTCAAGAAAAATAGTTAAATTTCAGTAAGAACAACAAGCTTTGTAGAGTTTTAACTTGCCTCATTTCCAATCCCTTCTCCTCAGCTCTGTGGTTGCTCTAAAAACTGGTTGCCTCACAACCAAGGTAGCTGTGAAAACCAGCAATGTACTGGTGGGGGCAGCCCAGGTTTGGTGCACCACAAAAACCCTACAGAGAATTGTTACTATTTGGCACTTCCTTGGGAAGCCCCCATTGAAAGGGCTTGTTGATATTTGACCTGACTCAGAGCTTGCTTAGTGGGAAAAGCCAGCATGTTTGTCAGAAAGAATAAGTGACAATTGTTTTAACTTTTCAGCTGCTTAGGGCAAACATACAAGTTGGTGCAAACAAGAGGCTGGCCAAAACATTTAAAAGAGAAATCTGGGACATGTGATTGCCATAGATGACTTTTGAAAGCTCTGATTTTTAAAAATATTCCTGGAGTTCTTGGAGGTCACACGGATGCACAAATTTGCACACACACCCAGGAAGGACCTGCGGAGGCCCCACTCTCTCACCTCTGGCTCACTTTGGTTCTGTGCAAGCACAAAGTGAAGGCTAAGGTAGAGCTGGAAGCTGTCAGTGTTGAAAGTGCGCCCCAATACATAAAGGCCTTTGGCAAATGATCACACTAACTGGCTCAGGGTTTTCAAGGAAATCTCTTTCTAATCTTTAGCTGATTCCTGGGCTAACCCAGCAGAGGCTTCAGTGGCCACGTCTTACAAGGAAAATAGACTTTGCAGAATCAATATAGAAAAATGACTAAATGAAATTTCCTAAACAAATAGCAACAAGAACAATTATTCTTAGGGGATGGAGGATATCTGATTTCTAGAGTTGCTTGATTACATTATTTCAAATGTCCAGTTTTTATCAACAACACAAAATTATGAGATATGCAAAGAAACAGCAAGGTTTGCTCATACACAAGAAAAATGATCAATAGAAACTACACTGCTGTAGGACTTAATAGACAAAGACTAAAGACTATAAACAGATTAAAGCCAAATAAGACCTTTGGTGCTTTTAAAACATTTTTGTTTATTTTCTTCTATTGGACTAGCTTCTTCGGTTTTCTAAAACAAGAGTGTTGGTGTTGATTACATAATACACCAGTATTAGAGGTCTCATCTTGAAGGCAGAATTTGGAATCCGGCATTTATTATAACACAAAGAAGAAGAAAATACAAATGAGATGGAAAATATAGTATTTTGAATTCTTTGTTAGTTTTAAATTTTAATGGTGATGTTTCTTGGTGAAAAGTGCACATGGTTTGGGACTTACTTGAGCATGTCTGAATGAAATTGCTACATGTGGCTGTGGTCTTTAAAACCCTCTCTAATACCTAGCTTGTTTTTAGGCGTTGTTCTCACCCTTGGATCTATGAAGGCTGGAACTTGGTATGCCTTTCACATACCAAGTTCTTTTAGGAAGAACATTGATGATAGAGCCTTCCCTTACTCAGATTTGTTATTGTAAGGTAGCCATAATTTCCTGCCCACTGGCCCTGGAATCTTTCACCAGTAGTAAAATTTGCTACCTGTGACTAGTCTGCCTAAAATAAGGTCAAAGCATGTGGGCATATCAGTATGTAAAGTTTAATCAACCTTGTCTTCATTCCTTGACTGAAGGCTTTTGCTAATAGTATTCAAAGAGAAACAAAAAACCAAAACAACGAAAACTGATCCTGAGCACAAAATTTTATGAAGCTGTCATCTTTAGGAAATTACTAATTTTGTTTTCCTCACACTTGGAGAAAATGATCCTCAATCTTAGTCTTGATAAGTTTCTACCTGATATAATCTCTATATGGATTATAAAAAAAATATATTATAATAGATAAATAGGTAGGTAGATGAGGAGTTAGGTAGATATGTTGATTATCTTAAAGAATATGCTTATTACAGACTAAATCACAATATGTATATTCTTAGATTTGGTCTATGTATGATTTTTTTCTAGAGGGATACCTTTGATAGGAAGAAAACTCACATCAACCCCCAAATTTGGGAAACACTGCATTAATATTTTAATACTGGCATTTTAGCGGATCATCAATTTATAGACATCACTTTTCATTGATTAATTACATTCTTTTTTTTTTTTTTAAGATTTTTTTTGGGGAATTGGGGGATGGGAACAGTGCTGGGGAATTGGGGAACGGGGAACAGACAAGTTGCTGTCGTTTTGTTCTTCAATCTAGTTGTGGAGGACGTTGCTTCACTGGCCCAAGTTGGCACCATCATTGCGCTCTTCTCTGGCGAGGCAGATCAGTCGCCGGCTTCTGGACGGCCGCTCACTGCGGCTGCTGGCCGCTCACGCTGGCTGCTGGCCACACACGGTAGCCCATGGCAACCCACTGCCACAGAGACTGCAGCCCACGCCATCGCCGGCGACTCATGGCAGCCCAGCTCCAGGTTGAGCTGTTGTTCAGCATCTTAGCTGTGGAGGGCAGTGTCACTGGCCCTCACATGTGGGATCCGAACCGGGGCCCTCTGGCATCCCAAGCAAGTTCTCAACCATCGCGCCACTTGGCCGGCCCGATTAATTACATTCTTTAGAAAAGCAAATTGGAAAAAGCAATGAAATATTACAGATTGCTTTATAAAAACTCTACGAAGTTAATTTACCTAAATTGCAGGACCAGAAATATAATTTGTAAATAGACTTTACCCCTGGGCTACTAGTGATGGCAATTTCAAATACTGCCTCTTGAACTTGTTCATAATAACCTTGAGGATTTTAACTGTGAGTTTCAGAATTATAACATCCTTGTATTCCTTTTAGGAAAATACCTGGAATATCAGACATTAAAAAAGTTGACAGAGTGTTGTCATCACTTATAACAATAAGGAAAATAAGAATAGTTCTCCATGTTCAAGTTTCATTTACTTGGCTTTATTCTAAGCAAATATTTTAGGCTATTAGCTAAAAAACTATTTTTATGGATTTTTTTTCTTCAACTTTGGCTATAGAAAATAGTAAGATAATAGTAGTGGTGATGGTGGTGGTGATGGTGATGGCAGGGATGGTAGGGATGGCAATAATTATAACAACATTGCCTATCATTAATTCATTTCTAAGTACCAGGCACTTTTCTAATTATTTTACATGTTTGATCTCATTTAATCTTCACAACCATCTTATGAGGCAGAAACTATTATTATCCTCACTTTTACAGTAGCGGAAATTAAAGCTTAGGAAGATTATGTAACTTGCCCAAGGCCATAATAACTCCTTGGAAGTGGTAACAAGTTCAGATTAAAAATCAGGCAGCTTTACTCCAGAGGCCTTGCAACTTGTCACTGCCCTATTCTCCCCACCAATGTGCTCATGTTAGAATATAGTACAGATGAATCTTATTGGTCTTTTAATGTAAGATAATTTCAATAGGAGAAACCTGAAGGGGTTATTTTAATTTATTTATCCATTAATATTTATTAAGTTTCTACCATATGATGGCACTGTTGGAAGATATGGGTATATATTAATAGCATCGAACAAGTTAGACAAGGTGCCTGGGCACTCATCAAGCTTATATTCAAGTTGAAAAATACCTTTAATAAGTAAGGTAATTCCATATAGTGGTATAACTAAGCTATGAAGATAAAAATCAGGGTTATGTGTTTAGCTGAGAATTGGGGGTAGGGGACTTGTTTTGATAAGGAAGTTGGGAAGGAAGTCAGACTCAAAAGATTCTCATGCTACATGATTCTAGTGATATGAAATTCTGGAGAATGAAAAACTAATTTGAAAGGAAAGAAATCAGTTGTTGGCTGGGAAGGGTTGGGGAGACTTTTTGAGGGTGATGGAAATATTTTAATTGTAATTATGGTGTCGATTACATTTGACGGAACTTAAATTATATATTCTATATTGATGAATTTTATTAATGCAAATAATATTTTAATAAAGCTGATTTAAAAACAAAACAAAAACAAATGCCTACCAGAATAAATTATTGGATAGGTGGTGATTTCAGATGGTGACTTCATTTACTATGGTGAGGAAGAGTTGAGTTCCATGGGGTTAAACAATCCAATTTGTATATATTAAAGTTGAGGAATCTATTCATAATCCTAGATAGAGGAAATGTTGAATAGGCTGTTAGAAATATGGGTCTGGAGTTCAGGTGAGTCGTCAGGGCTGGAGATCAAAATTTGGGATTGACAAGCAGATAGATAATCTTTAAAGGCAAATATATTAAAAAGAAAAATTTTCTCAACAGGATTCTACATAACATTGTTTTATGGAATGTAGCCATCTTCTACATAAAAAAAATATGGCATGAAAAATTAACTATGTAGTAGTGCAAACAGTTTCACACTTACAGTTGTATTTCAGATGAAACTGGGAAGGTGTTAAAGTTATTGGCGTTTTCTGTATCGCGCTCATACCCAGGATTGAGTGGCCAGGGTTTCATCTATATCTTCTGGAAAGCTCAGGGTCACTGGTATGAACAAACAGTAGCTTCTGCCACCTCCTGTTTAGTTTCAGAGGCCAACTTCTCATCGTGTCCTCTGGTTCTTTGGCAGCTAGTTGGGATCCGTGGAGCCTGAAGAGCTGCTGGCCAGGTAACTACACATTGATTGAGTACTGACTGAAGGGATTGACTGTATAAAAGCGGTATTTTTAATTCTAAGACTTAGGCCACTTCACAGCACTCAAATGTTTCTTTAATAAAAACAGTTCTGAAAATAAAACTTGTAATTAACAGCAGTTAGCATCTTTGGCCACTAAGTCACACTAGAAATTAGGAAAGGCTAGAGTGTGGCAAAGCAAAAACCAATCAGTGTAAACTTAAGCAACTAAAATGACTCCTGAGACATGTAAGGGGAAAAAACAGCTTCTGCTTTATCACTTACCTCTAGATTTTCTCTGTGATAACACCGTCATTAACTGAGGACATAAATGGTAAACTATGAAAGAAAACAAAATACCTCAGGATTGTAGCACACTTTTCTCCGAAAGATGATTATTTCAGAGATTTTCTCAACTTACAGTTGTATTTCACACTTACAGTTGTATTTCAGATTGTTTGGCCTTGGTCATAAATTAAGACAAAGTCATAATGCTGGTTGTAGATTGGTACCTTTTATTTTTTTTAAATAAATGGAAAGTTTAACTCTGGCTTGTTTGATTTTCATATTAGATTAATTCTGTATCCCTTGAAAATCTTTGTTAAAGAAAGTACATTTGTTATTGACACCAACGCGGGCAATAAAAAGCGAGTCATTAATTTTGCTGTTCTAGCAAAGTCCTGTAAAAGGACTCCAGTGCGTACAGACACTTAAACTCTGTCTGACGTTGGAAGCTCTGCATAATAGTTTATAACCACAGCCCCTGTAATTTGGGGTTATGTTTGCCCCAAAAGCCACAGACGTTACAATCAGTGGTTAAATTTTCTTTAAGAAATTTAACATTGCCACCTGACCCCTCTTTTAAAAAAAGGAAATAGCATTTCTGTTTTAGCTTAGCAGGTCAGATAGTTTTACAACATTGAAAATTTTTCTGAATTGACTTGTTTGGTTTTGATTCATTAATTTATTTTTAAATTTTTATTTACAAAATTTCGGGAGTAACCTACTTAACTATAGGTAGAATCTTAATTACATTTTCACTGTCAGAAGTATTGTATCTAGGGACAAGTGAACAAATAGTACATCGACTTACCTTCTCATTTCTTGAGACCTTTTCCTTCTGTTATATTTCCTGTTTTGTTCAATGAGATAACCATCTGTCAAGTTATCCAACCCAGAGAACGAGAATTTCTCTTAGACTCTCCCACCCTCATGCCCATTTTCATGCCTTTCAAATCATTAACACTTTCCCATTAAATAATCCCTAAACTTATACACACCCCCTTCCTACCCATTGATTGTCGTAATTACGGTTCTTATTGCTTACCGTGTCCTCCTACATCAACTGCTTTGCTTCCAGTTTTTTTCCCTTTCAATTTGGAATAAAAAATGAATGTCATTCTCCCGCTTAAATTCTTCAGTGCTGCCCTGTAACCTATAGGATAACGTTCAAGCCACTTAGCCTAAACTATAACTGTTTCAGAGGATGAAAAAAATCTCTCAGTGACCTGGTCACTACCTCTCCAGCTCATCTGCCACCCTGCTGCTTCACATTTCATGTTTTCAGTCCCAAACTGTTGGAACATGCGATTTTATGGTATTGGGTTTTTAGTCCTACTGTGCCTGTAGCCTAGGATGGCACTGGTTTCCTAATTTACAAAACCCACTCATTTAATAATTTAGCTTTTTGTTTTAATCCAAAAAACTTCTTTTCCGCTTCTCAGATTAAAGCAAGTGTTCTTTCTTCTTTGGCATTCAGTACATAACTGTACGACAGCCGAGCCATATTATAGAAAAGGGATCTGTGTGTGTCTTCTCCACTAGATTATATGCACCTTAAAGTAGGAGCTAGGTCTTGAACAAATCTCAATAGATTATAAAATGGTGCAGGATCAGCACTTTTTTAATGAGACATTAATATTTAAAAAATGGACTTGACAACACAATTTGGCTCTTTTGGTTGCTTTTTTTTTTTTTTTTTTTTTTTTCACAAAAC